CAGTTTTGTACCAGTTGAAAGGGTAAAAACCTATTACTATACGGTCAAACAACCAACCCATGACTTGCACACCACGGGTAGGTCTTCATCCAGAAGCAGATTGGCATGCACCGTTAAGCATAAAGGACGCTTCTTTGCTCGGGAACTTTGCCTGTGATCGCAGGGTTGCGAGTTTACATCCAAACCCGAGTCAATTCATTGTCACGATCATCACCGTCTTGTCCTGAGGTGAGTAAAATGTATACCGCGCCAGTGAGGCTACACCGATTGGCAACACAGATAGGGCAGGCATCGGTAACCTCCTCGCGGTGAGACTGCCCTGCCTCACAATGACGGGAGGCTGTCGGAGGAATGTGGAACGACGTTTCACCTGCCGCGCCTGGAGACCACTGGGCAGAGGTCGCAACCGGGTACCTGATACCCGATACCCGGGTACCCGTACCCGGCCGGGTACGGGTACGGGTACCCGTTTGCGACCCTGGTGTGGGCGGGTATGGGTAGACCACGAGTCACTGGTGAGTAACTGTCACTCATTTCCCAACGTCTTGTCTCTTCTCGCAATTAAAGTTCCTAGAATCAACCCACCCGCGCCTGCAACATGGCTTCATCCCAGAGGTCGTAATCGGGTACCAGATACCCGTACCCAGCCGGGTACGGGTAGGGTACGGGTACGGCCGGGTACGAATACCCGTTTGCGACCCTAGTGCGGCCGGGTACGGGTAAGGAATCAAAACCCGTTTGCGACCTCTGCCACTGGGCCAGGCGTCGCAGCCTCCCAGCATCTCGCATTTGTAAATTGCCGGTGACTAAAGTGCAAGACGTGACCCCCCCCCCCCCCCCAACGATCCGCGGGTGAATCTCGCGAGGGCTCTCGCGTGGTTAAATACGTTGGGTCGGGGCGCGCGCGTGAGATTGAATTGGAACAACGGAGGGCAGCAACAGGTGAACAGTGAAGATTAATGACTCACGCCGGTTCATTGAGACGTATTCGCCAGGAGACCGAGAGACGGAGGGAGAGGAGGGGGGGTGTATTGATTAGACATTGAGAGCTGTTCTTTAATTCCTTTTTGTGAGCCTGTGTTGTCGAGTGCTGTGACACGCGGGCACTTTTAAGTGCGCGTGCGTATTGAGAGTCACACTTCTTGTACACGAGCTCTAACCGGCAGACAAATGACAGCGGCTAAAATTCGTACGACACAAAAATCGTGTTAGCGTTTGGCTGGGGTGGTGTGAAATCGTCAAGGTTATCCGTCTAGCCAGGTGAGAGCGACACAGGCCGGGGATATGGGCTGTCGCATTTGCTAGACGTGAACGTGGGTCGTCAAAGCGACGTGGGCAAAACGAATACAAAAGTCCAGCGATGATGCAAATGGCAATCGGCGCGTACCAAAAGGAAACAACCAACAGTGTCACGTGAGAAATAGAAAGAAATTGAACGCACGTTAATAATTGTTGAATAATAAATTACCTGCAGCGTGATTAGGCATTTACAAAGTTATAGAGACATTAAAGAGATATGAGGTGACTATTGCACTAATAAGTAAACAGACAAATATAAAATTGCGAGTCAATTGAAATTTCACGGGATGTCAGATATCCCAAATTTCAAAACGATATTAAGACTGACATTATATTTACAGAGTACCATTTAAACATAAATTACCAAACCCTTCAAATATTTGCCAAATCTTCTTTCGCAACACGTGGTTCACTTATGCACTTGGAACGAATGATTGCATTACGATTGGATGGATAAGTATAACGCTGTTGGTGTTGACATTTACGATGGATCATTCACCCCCCCCCGTCTCCCGACCGTAACTCCGTGTGCATGCAGAGTCATGCAATTCGGCAGAGACAATCGGTGTGTGTTTGGCACGCTGTGAATTATTTTGGCAAGAGAACAAACGGCAAATTTCGACTTAAAGTGGGGTGGGGTGGGGGAGGAGGCGGGGGGGGGAAATCGCCCTCTCAAACTTATAGCTTCGCTACAAAAGCCCCACGCGGACAGTGCGGTGTGTCAAACTTCGCCGCAAAAAATAACTCGGTTTTGTCAAAAAATTATTCGACAATTGTATTCGTTCATTCCGCCATCAGATGGAGAATCCGGTTAGAAATCCTGCGTAGCTGAGCTTCCTGCTGTGTGTGACAGAGAATGGATGTGGAACTGATTTTCAACAGGACATCTGAAAAAACCCTTCAAGTGGCATTTTATTATCCTTCCCGGTGCAGCAATCGCACTGTCCCACACTCGGCGATGCGATTGTGTGTCGCGTTGCGATGAAACACCGATATTTTTCAATTCTCAGAGATGGAATGTATCCACACTAAGCACAAAACCAAATTTCTATTTGCGGATCTCCGTGCAGTCATTGGTGACTGCACAAATACCCATCAAAACACACGACAGTTGAGAAACCCAGTTGCATCACAGGTATGTGAAACACAGATCGGAACCCCGGTTCTCAGCAGTTGCCACCTCAGCGATCTGACACCCTGAGTCTTCCACCATGTTGAAGAGTGTGAGAGTTTTCAAGCAAATGTGACGAGGTCATTCGGGGGGCTTCTCAGCTGAAGGCTTCCAGGGCAGCACCCAGAAGGCCACACGATTTCGGTGCAGAATGAGACCGCATTAGATATTCGCAGCTGAACTGTGAGGAAAGTATTTCGATTTAAAGCTTTCGTGACTGCAGGGATTCATCTTCTTGGTTCTTTCGGTAAAGTCACGTAGAATGGAAATAATTATAATATAATTTTATTATTTTATTATGTTTTATTTTCATTATTTTATTATTTCCATTCTACGTGACTTTACCGAAAGAACCAAGAAGATGTGAGGAAAGTAATCAGTGAGTACCGCCAGCTGTTTGGTAAACCTCAATGAATTGATTCTCTAAGATATATCGATGCCATCTCTTATGGCACATTGCACCGATCTCTACTGGACATCTGTGAGAAGGAGCTTCATAGCTTTGGTGGTGAGATGTTAACTACCTCACCTAGGAGACAGGAGGTCATGGGTTTGATCCCGACCCTGATGCCTGTATATTTGGGGTTTGCATGTTCTGCCTGTGATCGCATGGATTTCTCTCCAGGTCCTCTGGTTTTTCCCTCCACATTTAGAAAGGTGCGTTGAGTGTATTTGTCTGCTGTAAATATCCACGTGGTCAGCCACTTCATTGGGCACTCATTTGTGGCCAGGATGCTTCTGAAAACGATCTGCGTAGCTCAAGTGGGCCTTACCTGGTAAAATAAAATACTTGGGTTCGCTCACAAGATTCCTCCAAGATATTATAGAGGAGCTCACCAGAGCTGCCTCTAGTAGAGACCCCTTCCACTATCAGTGGCTTGAGCAAGCAATTGCAGGGCTGCACCCTTTACCCTCCGCACTGCTCATCCAAGCTTCTCTCGCAGAAACTTGATTTTGCCAACTCACTTTTTTTATTATGGATGCGTTTATATAACAGGAATTTGCCCGACCACCTTTCTACAGAGGTGTTTAAGAGTTGCAGCCGTCTCTTCACGCGTACAAGTTGTGCTGTGTTAGGCCAATAACAGTGTATCCAATTCGAGTCAACTGTGACCATATCCGGAATCCAGGCGAATATACGTCCAACTCCGCTCTCCATTATATTGTCACCTTTACCTGGCTTTGGCAGACAGCAAAAGTGTTGAACTTCATATCAGTGAAGAACTGTATTGCCCAGTGCTAAGGCTATGTCATATCGCCAAAGCCATCACCTGAAAGCCATATCGGGAGATTACCTTCGGCTGAAAGTGTGCATCACCGGTCATACCATTAAAGGATGATGGCTTGAATGGATAGTGTACGAGAAATCGCACTTTATTTCTTCTGTGCTGCGGAGCAGAGAGAAATTGAGTTTGGGACAGAGGCTGCGGGATAGAGGAGGCCTTGGGTGTTGGAAACCACATGTCAATGAGGTCATCTCAAGAAGATCTGTATTGATACACAGATGGACATCAATGTATTGAGGTTTTTGGCGAAATGCAATTCACCGGTGTTTGCCTCTGGGGGAGGGGGGCGGGGGGAGGATGTCAGATGTGCCATTGCACATCTGCTCTTGTTTGTGCACACGTGTGTGTGTGTTGACAAGTGGGGAGCGGTAGTGTCGCGGTTAGCGCTAAGCTGCGCTACGGACCCGGCGACCCGAGTTCGGTTCCCGCTCACGGCCAACGTCGGTGACGATTATTTGAACCAGTCCTGGGCCTCCCCTAGGTCGACTCAGCCTGAAATTAGTACCTGGTGCGGTGCGTTAAAACATTGCCACTAGGGAGACAAAGGCGGCCCCGCGTGGTGCTGGCCACCCACCCCCTCGTGTGCCGTTCTGGCCTTCATAGGTGCTCGCTAACAGCACTTGCCCTAACAGACTCTTAAGGCTATACGGGGGATCTTTTTCTTTTGAGTTGGCAAGTGGGAGTGATGGTGCATTGGTAAGCATGCCATCCTTAACCGTTTCTCACCAACAGCACTTGCAACAACATTTTGCGTGAGCTACATGGGGTGTGAATGTCTGTATACCGTGTATGTATATGTGTGTACGTGTGTGGACATGTGCGTGCATGTTGTGGGTCGTGCATATTGCAGTGAGCAGCACACTGCACTCCAAAGCGAGCAACCAGAATTTCATTCACTTTCGCGGCCAACATCATGTGCGAATATCTGAACCGGTCCTGGAACCTACGCCTAGGTCGACTCGGGCTTAAATGAGCACCCGGGTGCGGTACACGTAAAAACGTCAGCAGCCGGGTAAAACAAAAGCGGCCGGGGTGTGGCGTGGCACTGGCCATGCTGCCCCCTTTTTAACGATTCGCCACTTTGGTGTACACACACGGCACTCGCCCCAACAGCCCGCTAAAGGCGATACTGGAGTGGGGGGGCTGGGGCGGGGGCGACCTTTGTCTTTGTATCTTGTGTGCACCCAGCGCTCGGTGCTGAGCGCGATGGCGGAGGAACTCCGCATATCCCTCCGGTGCCACAGCAGAGTGAAGCGGAGGGTCCCGGTGCTCATCCGCGTCGAGGACTCGCTCAACATGCACACCTTCAACGACCGCCGGCTGCCGGGGAAAGAGACGATGGCGTGACTCGGCACGGCGGGATGGCGAGGCCGGCGAGCGGTGACGGCCGTTTGCCGACGTCGACCGACCTCTCTCCCCGCAGCAGCAGCAGCAGCAGCGGCGGCGACGGCTCCGTCTCGGCCTCGACCTCGTCCACACACTCTGGCACCGAGCCTCCTCCGCATCGGATTTTCTGTGAAAACGTTGCGTCCGCCACCTGCCCCCGCCCGAAGGGTTTCGATCTCGGAGCGATGCCCCCGGTGAGCCCGTGTAGATAGAGGGACTGCGGCGATGACGACGACGACGATGGTGGCAGCGGTGGCGTCGACTGGAACTTGGCATTGTCGAGGACGTTTTTGAGTGTGAAATGAAGCAAAGTGAAGCGGATGGAACAACAGCAGCAGCAGCGGACATGCTAAATGAACACTTAAAGGAATTTACTTTAAAAACAAGAAATCACTCACGTAACAAACTTAAACAAAATAAGGACATGTTTGTGGTTGTAGTTATTGTTTGACGAAAATGCTTCTTTAGTTTTGTTATGTTTTTTTTTGTTCTTCTTTGCAAGTGAAAACAAATTCATTTTAGGTACAGTAGTTGCGTTCTGAACACTGCTCGTTTGTTTAAAATACAACGTTGAGTGAGAATGTCCGATGGTGAAAATGATGAACTGTTCATTCATTGGTATACATACACTCTGCTTGCTACAATAAGTTTGTTATTACCGTTATTATTGCTACTATGATGATAATGTTGTTATTGCACCCGAGATGAATTACCCATGGTATTTTGTTCCAACATGGATTGTAAGAGTTTTATTTAAGAGCACTATATTACACTATATTTATATGGTTGAGTGGCGGTCAAATGATTTTTGAGAATGGGGGCATTTATTGAAAAAAGTCACAACCTAATGTCGGACCTTGTTCCAAAGTCCTTCTCTATGTGGTAATCATGTGGTGGAATAAGTGCGTCGATGTTGGGTGGCTACACTATTAAAACAGAATTAGTGAGTCGGTGCTTCTGATTAATTTACCATTCTAAAACAGTTTTCGCTATCTTTTCGTATTATGTATATGGAAAAAAAAAATCCGAATTTTTTTGAATGTGTGTTATCCATCTCATCGAGTTGTCGCTACGATTTTTTTTCGTGGTGTTATTTTTTTTTGTCTGTTGGAACTAAAATATTTCTCCCGTTATGGTTAATAGACCGTTAAAAACCCATTTTACGCTCATTATGACAGGAATGACGATTGTTTTAAAACGAAGGAAGACATCGCTTGGTTATTTGCATCCTAATTTGAAGCAGAGTTGTGTTAATGGAACTGTGGGATGGCAATAACGCTTGACGTGCCACGCGCATACGAACGAGAGCAGGGGGGGGGGGAAATCTATCTTTTAAATGTTGCCCGGTCGTAGGGAAAACAGATTTGGGACAGAAAATCCTGTCGGTGATTTTGGCTGGAAAATTTTACGCTGATTTGGGATGGAAAATCCTGATGGTGATTTGGGATGGAAAATCCTGACGCTGATTTGGGATGGAAAATCACGTTAGTCACGTTCGTGATTTTGGCTGGAGAATTTTTACGCTGATTTGGGATGGAAAATCCTGATGGTGATTTGGGATGGAAAATCCCGTCGGTGATTTTGGCTGGACAATTTTACGCTGATTTGGGATGGAAAATCCTGATGGTGATTTGGGATGGAAAATTCTGACGCTGATTTGGGATGGAAAATTCTGACGCTGATTTGAGATAGAAAATCACGTTATCACCAGCCAAAATCACTGACGTGATTTTCCATCGTGATTCTGGCTGGATAAATTTAACGCTGATTTGGGATGGAAAATCCTGATGGTGATTTGGGATGGAAAATCCTATCGGTGATTTTGGCTGGACAATTTTACGCTGATTTGGGATGGAAAATCCTGATGGTGATTTGGGATGGAAAATCCTGACGCTGATTTGGGATGGAAAATCACGTCATCACCAGCCAAAATCACTAACGTGATTTTCCATCGTGATTCTAGCTGGAGAAATTTAACGCTGATTTGGGATGGAAAATCCTGAAGGTGATTTGGGATGGAAAATACTGTCGGTGATTTTGGCTGGAAACATTCTGACAGTCGTTTGGGATGGAGAATGCTGAAAGTGATTTTTGGATGGTAAAAATTCTGAAGGTGATTTGGGATGGAAAATCCTGTTGGTGATTTATTGGTGCATCAGCGAATGGGTGAGATGTTTGGTAAACCATTTGCATGCTGGGTTCTGCCAAGCCAATGTAAACTTTTTGGATAATTCGATTCTTTTTTGACAAACACTGTTTATTTTTAATTTTTCCCAGCCAGTAAAAAATGGTGCTTTTTAGATGACACACACGGCAATTCATGTTTTCAAACCGATTATTTTTTGTTCGATAAAATATTTGGAATGTTGGTGAATATATATATGTTTAACATGTCTGAAATTGAATGTTGTAAAGACATGATGAAGCTGAGTCCCTTTTATATATTTAACTTTTTTGAGAGAAAAGAAAGGCAGAAGGTTTTTAAGACGCTTTATTTCGACGATGTTGCTCTTGTTTGTGAATACCGGATTACACAGGATAAAGGGACATGATTTAATATGCTTTCGTCGTGTGTTCGGATTTGTACGTGGTGTGTTCTGATTTTAATCTTCTCCCATTGTTCAGTCAGCCCGAGGAGCATTTCCATCACGACTAATGGGCGACTTTGTTGAGATTAATGATCAATTTTCTGTTATTATCATTTCTGATGGTTTTCTATTTTCTCTTTAGTCCCTATATCGAAACCTGTTTTTGTAAACATATAAGCAAATACTACCCACAGTAATTGATTCAACATTAAATAATTGACAAGGCGTATAACTTTTATCGGAATGTCTGTTCATCTGCAGTGAATTTTGATTTTAATCCAGCCATTCGTTACATTCTAGCATGCAATTTAATAAAACTAATCCTTAAATAATTCGTAATGGCACTGCTTAGATGAGAATTTCACGATTGCGCCGCATATCTTCCCGATGCGTTTTCCAGTCGTACCGCGTGTTGTTCGTCATGATGTCCGACGTTTCACAGCACGTACCGGGGGTATTCTTCAATCCCTTAAGAAGCCTCCACTGCGTGAAACAAAACACCGGGCATCGTGCCCAACACGCGGCACAACGCGTGAACACATCGGTAGAGCTGTGACTTGTCAATGGTAATGCAGTATGAGCAGCAGGCAATGACAAAACCGTTTGGGTCCTAATTGCAGTGCCTGGTTTTCCCGTCTCGCGATTTAATATCAGAGGGAACTCGGTAGCTCTGCTGGAGGCTCATCATGGTTGTGTTGGAGCACTGAGACATCGCCACGGAGATGTTGGAATCCGTGGCGGCTGCCTCCTGATTAAACGGAGTTCTCAAGCGGGGAGCGTGTTTGATGATCGCAGTCTGATCATCAGTCAGTACAAAAACACAAAATACAGGGTGTCCGTGAAGCTATCATCTATTATCAAGAAATTATAATTAGACATCGGGATGCGGCAGCGAGGCAGTGGTTAGTGCACTGCATGCTGCGGACGCAGTGAACCCTGAGTTCCATGCCTGAACGTGGCTAACGTGAGTGGCAATTGAAGTCTAAGCCGATCACGAACCCTTCCATGTTCACCAACCAGGCACCGACCAACGTGATGAAGTGTGCTCAAACGACCCCCCGTGAATCACACGACACGGTGGGAGGCCTTCATCCAGCAGTGGATTGACAAAGGGATGCGAGTTATTTTCATTTTATTTGTATCAGTATATACTTTTATTGCTTTTATTTACACACAACACGAGCCCGCTGCAGGGTACTGATCGCAGAAAAAGAAGGGGGGAGGGCGGAAATTCCGTGAAAAAAAAAAGTCCAACACCGGTGCTACTTTTATAATTATTATCGTTAGCAACTTGAGCTAGGTTGCATAAAAAATACAGACGCGCACTCTGATTTTGAATATTTTATCGCGTACGTCTGATCCCCTCCTAAACCTCCGTCTGTCCGTCGTGGCCTTGACGACACACGTCGAATTTTGATTTGAGAGAGCGAGGGGGGGGGGGTCCCTGGAGTTCGGCCTGTGGTTGTGTAAAATGCTTCTCCTGCGAGCTCTTAAAAACCATTTGAACCTGTCAGTTCATTCTTGGTGAACATCACTTTGAATATTTCACGCAACCGCAACATTCGAGCGCACCGTTCGAACCGCTGTATGATAATTATAACTATTTAACAACGGAGAATACCGATAAAAAAAAAAACACGTTCTGCTTGGAATTAATCTTCTTGGTTCTTTCGGTAAAGTCAAGTAGAAGGGAAAAAATAAAATAATAAAAATAAAACATAATAAAATAATTCTCACGACGTTTCGGCCACAACGCAAGCAGCCGTCCTCAGGTGAAGAACAGGTCTGTCGGAAAGACAGCGTCTGAATGAACACCACCAAGCTTGCCTGGAATGTTTGGTTTCTCACTCAAATTCCAGCTTCAGTTCCAGAAGCAGCTCCCAGCCTGCGGAGCGAAACATCGGGCATCGTTTCCGAAACAAATCAACGAGCGGTCATAATCCGAAAACGCATTGGAGAGAGATATGGAGCACCACCTCTAACGACTACATTTCTGGGGGGGGGAGGGGAAATAAAGTGGATGATTGACACGCCTTAGACATTTATGAGTGACAACTCGTGTATTTAGATCTTTCTTAGGCATACCCAGAAAATGACTTGACGTTTCCCCCTTGCTGCGACATATTTCCACGAGGTCTTTTTTTTCTCTCTTCTTGACAGAACTCCATAATAACAATTTGAATATATTTGGCAACGCCACATGCATTAAAGATGAGGAACACAATGCGGAATAGAGTGAAAAGCGACAACTGGATTTTGCCACACACCGCCACATGTGTTGCCTGGTGTTCGAGGTGACATTTTCGTTTTTCTTTGGCTCACTCTTTGAGTCGTCCCCCCACCTTCCCGCCCCCCCCCCCCGATTTTCAGAGTGATAGGAAGCCTGTCAAAGCTGTCAGTAGCCTTTCTTGTGAACACGATTGCTGCCCCAAAGCAACCCCCCTCCCCCCCACCATTCTCCCATGCGCTGGCACATTTCTATGCATTTTCATCGACCGTACCATAACAACAGCGGTTGCAGTCTAAGTGAATTTATTTCAATTTGCAGTCGGTGATGCGGCCGGCGGTCCCACAGTGGCAATGCGCGACGGTCATTGGCCACGTGTCGGACTCACGATCCAGAGGTCACCGGTTCGGATTTCCACCTCCCAAGCGCCGCGGTTTGGAATGACAGCGTGGGGCAGCGAGTTTCCTGGAAGCGAGCACAGTGCCGCGTGGAAAGTCGAAATTGCCAGCGGTATTGTTACGAACACGGATGTCGTGACCTAGTTTTGGTAGAGCCCTTCATGCTGCCAGGATGTAAATGATCATCACGCTGGACTTGTAATCCAGATGTCGCCCGTTGGATTTCATTTTCCGGCACAGCGGTTGGGAGCATAATTTCCTCGTGTCTCTAAACTAGAGCACATTTATTTATTTATTTAACCAGGTAAAGGCCCACTGAGCTATGCCGTTCTTTTTCAGAAGCGACCCGGCTGCCACAAATGATAGCTCAACGAAGTGGCTTATCATGTGGACATTGTATAGCAGCCCAAAGACTCTAAACGCACGTTCCGTGCAAACGTGGAGAGCAAATAACCGGAGGATCTGGAGAAAGATCCTCGTGATCACGCGGAGAACATGCAAAACTCCAAATATACAGGCGTCCGGGTAGGGTTCTAACCCACGACCTCCTGTAAGCCAGGCAAGGTAATTAACATCTCTCCATCCGAGCAGTTTAAACAAGAACACCACAGGTGACGAGTATGTTGCGTGTGGTGGGGTCAAGTGTCGGTCCTCCCACCTCAGGCAAGCGTGGAGGAGTAGGCCAAAACACCTTCTAGAGAGGCTCTCTAAACTCCGTCTAGTGGAGGCCCTTCCACCTGCAGCGGTCTGAACAGGGCATTGCAGGGCTGCACCCTTACCTTCTCTTGCGGACGGTAAATGCAAAATGGAAAGTTTCAAGCGGCTCACTCATCCGGTGTGCATGCCGTGTGGCGCCCGTTTTACTTTGGCTGACCCTCAGCCAGTGGTGAAAATTCCACATTTCCTTGGCAAGGTCAAGTCTTCTCACAGCATGGCTCTCGGCATCTCACATGTATCGTGGTTTATTCGTTTTCTCCAAAAGGGGACAATGAGTTGACCCCTGGCTGGGATACGAACTCATGATGCCCCTTACCGACTGTGAGTCGAAGGCTGTGCACACAGCATCACCAAGTCCTAACAACTCGTTCAGATGTGCAGCTTTCCCAGAGGAAAAGCAAATGCAAGTCATTGCTCTGCAATCACATTACAGGTGAATGAGTCAACAGAGAAAGGTGTTGGTCATTGGGAAATGCCAATCAGCGAATCACAATTTCGTTTAAAATATTTATGATCTCCCAAGTATAACACGGAATGCTGCCCTGCCACAGTGGTGGTGGCAATGCTTGGTGCACTGTACTTGCAATCCAAAAGTCGCAGGTTTCGATTCGATCTCCACACCCCCCCCCCACCCCCCACGTCTGTCCACCCAGGAGCTGCAATGGGTATCACTGCTGTGAGTTGATCGGCAGGTGACGAGATGCGGGGTAATGTGTAGGTGCGCTCACACCTCTCCCAAGCAGTGCCGGATTATCCCAGTAGCAAAAGTAGCTGCATATGCAACGGGGGCCCCGCACTTTCAAGGGCCCCGCGTTAAATACTTTCAAGCTATCAATTCCGGTTCAGTGATTTTGAACTTGCTCTATTACTATAGTACGATACTGCCTTCAACTTTCGTGAAGTACTGGGTGTTTCAGGTTAGCGATTTGTCGTGTTATCCGGCTGTATAACAAATACAAAATACAATTACATTACTATGCAAGTAAAAAATGTGTGTTTTAATATGTACGTGTTTTTTTTAATTTAGGGCCCCTTTATAACATATGCTGCAGGCCCCGCACTAGCTTAATCCGGCACTGCTTCCAAGACGTCTTGGTCAGCGTAGAAGAGATCCCCCGTATAGCCTTAACAGACTGTAGGGGCAAGTGCTGTTAGCGAGCACCTATGATGGCCGGAACGGTACACAAGGGGGTGAGTGGCCAGCACCACGCCCGACCGCCTTTGTGTCCCTAGTGGCAATGTTTACACACCGCACCAGGTACTCATTTGAGGCTGAGTCGACCTAGGGGAGGCCCGGGACAGGTTCAGAAAATCGTCACTTGTGTTGGCCGTGAGCGGGAATCGAACCCGTGTCGCCGGGTTCATAGCGCAGCGCGCTAACCGCTACACACACAACAACAACCGCCATTCGCCACTAAGTGGCGGTGACGTCACCACGACGCTTGTGCCAGGCCATGTGCACCTTGAGGCTACGTGAAGTGTCGAACGCCCGCTGGCAGGAGGTCACGGGGCAGACCCAGGTGCCACGGGTCGACTGACTGAGATGATCGAGATGACTGGCTGATCCATCACCTGTGCCCTCTACTGTGCCAACTTGCTGTGCTTTAGCCACCCGGCGCTCCGCTCG